TCAAAATCTGTTATCCCTATTTTCAAAAATTCCGGAGAGCGATCTGATTCATCTAACTACCGTCCCATTAGTCTTCTTCCTGTCATAAGCAAGGTTTTTGAATCTTTAATCAACAAACACTTAATCTCTCATCTTGAATCAAATAACTTACTTTCTGATCATCAATATGGATTTCGGTCTTCTCGTTCTACAGCTGATGTGTTAACAGTAATAACCGATAGGTTTTACCGTGCATTAGATAGAGGTGGAGAGGTTAAGGCTATCGCACTTGACATTTCTAAAGCTTTTGATAAAGTTTGGCATGCTGGTCTTCTCCATAAGCTTTCTTCTTATGGTGTAGCTGGTAACGTCTTTAAGATTATTGAGTCCTTTCTTTCCAATCGTAGTATAAAAGTTGTCCTCGATGGACAACACTCTTCTTCACATCCTGTAACTTCAGGGGTTCCTCAAGGTTCAATCCTCGGCCCTATACTCTTTTTAATTTACATTAACGATCTTCCAGATATTCTCACATCTAAGGTGGCATTATTCGCCGACGACACTACCATTTACTCTTGTCATGATAAGAAGCCTACACTCTCTGATTGCTTGGAGGGGGTATCTGAGCTTGAAAAGGATCTCACTTCTGCTACAGCATGGGGCTCACAGTGGCTGGTGAACTTTAATTCAGATAAAACTCAATTTTATTCGGCCAATCGTTATCGTAATAATTTAGATCTTCCTATATTTATGAATGGTAATGTACTAGATGAGTCATCTACCATTCATCTTCTAGGATTAACTCTTACTTCTGATCTTTCTTTTAAACTGTATATCAAATCCATTGCAAAATTAGCATCTGCTAAGGTTGCATCTCTTTATCGAGCTCGACACTTTCTTACTCCAGATTCTATTCTCTATCTCTATAAATCTCAAATCCGTCCCTGTATGGAATACTGTTGCCACATCTGGGGCGGATCTTCTAATGATGCTCTTTCTCTTTTAGACAAGGTGCAAAAACGAATTGTAAACATAGTTGGACCTGCTCTGGCAGCCAATCTCCAACCTTTGTCACATCGTCGTAATGTTGCTTCTCTTTCTCTTTTCTACAAATACTATAATCGGCACTGCTCTAAAGAGCTAGCGTCCCTTGTGCCATCTACTAAAATTCATTCTCGTGTTACTCGCCATTCAATTAAGTCTCATCCTTTTTCTGTGACTGTTCCTAAGTGCTTCAAAAACTCTTATTCTTCTAGTTTTTTTCCTCGAACATCAGTTCTTTGGAATTCGCTTCCTTCATCTTGCTTTCCTGATTCATATACTTTGCAATCTTTTAAGTCATCAGTCAATCGTTATCTTGCTCTACAGATTTAGTCTTTTCTCTTCCAGTAACTTCCAACTCTTATAGTGGTTGCTTGCAGCCTTGTTGGAAGTGAATAAATTAAAAAAAAAAAAAAAAAAAAAAATGTATCAATGTGATTCAAAAATATACTTACACATTTTTTCTGTGGTTATATTAGGTGCTCCAAAAAGACCTAATGGTCGCATCAAAAAGCACCACAGAAGAGCATTTAACATGGAAGTTTACGATTGCTTTATGTCAAAAAAAAAAAGCCTAGGCATTGAACCATAAATAAGTGAAGGATCCAACATTTTTTAGTGTTTGAGATAGCTAACAGACATGGCACAAAATCCAAACATTTGCATGTTTATACTTATGTAAATAAATAAGGCTTTGCAAAATTTTGCGATGATTGGAGGCTAGGAACAAAAAAACCCTAATAATTTCTCGTCTATTTTGCCCTATATACGGTATGCGGTAGTGGTGTAGTGGTAGAGCGCTCGCTTCATAAACGAGTGGTTCCGAGTTCGATCCCCACCATGTCCCTGGTAGTACCGCGCTCAACTCGTTTCTCCGCGCAGCTGCCTTGCTCGTCAAGGTTCGTGTTTCGGAGTTATAGAGTTGAGAGAGGGTTATAACCACAAATAAGTAGCCTCCTCGTCTGTAGTGGCCTTCTCAGCCTTGAGGAGGTGAATTAAAATTAAAAAAAATATACCCCCCTTATATTTTCCCCCTATATAAACCCTAATATTTCATCCCCCTACCCCAAAAGTGGACAGCAACAAGTTAGTAAAATAATTTTTTTGCTTTTCTTAACTAAGTTTATATTCATTGATAAATTTTAAGTTTCATAGTATTATCTCTCAGCGTTCATAAATTATGACCATGTTAAGTTTAAACCCCCCTAAAATGAGGGAGTTAAAAGTTTTACATGGTCATAATTTTTGAGCACTTAGAGACGGTAAAAAATTACTTAAAATTTACCAACGTATATAAATTTAGTTAAGAATAGCAAATAAAATTTCATCAACTTGTTTTTCTGTCACATTTGGGGCAGGTGGAATAAAATTTTAGGGTTTTTTTGTTCCATGCTAGCATCACAATTTGACATAAGTTTAAACATACAAATGTTTGGATTTAGCTCAATGCTAGCTATCTCAAACATCAAAATATGCTGGATCTGTTACTGCCACAGATCTCTTGATTTTGTAGTAAACTTACTTCAGAATTTAACCCTGCAAATGTACAATAAATATTTATATACATATAAATTTTCAGCTTAAAACAAATATATTAAGAAAATATGTAAAAAATAATAATTTTTAAATGTACTTTCAAGATTTTCAGAGTTTGAAGTTAGGTATCGGATAAAAATTCAAATTACAAGAACCATTCAATAACGAGAAAGCGAGAAAGCAGTCGCCGTAGCTAGCTCCTTGAATCACTCTTCTTCTTTTTTAATAATTTTTACAAGAACTTTTTATTTGATGTAGCTTCTGAAGCTTCTTCAAGCTCATCACACTCTCTACATTATCTTAAATATATTTTACTGTAAGCACAGTCAAATTAAATTTTTTATTTAGAAATATTTTTCTTAAAACAAGAAATATGTTTCTTGTTTTAAGAAATAAATATCCTACCCTGAAATTTATTTTTAAAAACAGGAAACATGTTTCTTGTTTTAAGAAATAAATATCCTACCCTGGAATTTATTTATTGTAACAGGAAATATGTTTCTTGTTTTGAAAAACAAATTTTTAAATAGATTTACGATTTTGCTCTGATCAGTTGTTAGCAACTTTAAGAGATTTTAATAGTTTTTGAATTCATTGTATCCAAAAAGTCTGAGGGAGTCTCATACATAGACATTTTTTTAAACTATGATCTACGATATCAAAAATTAACCAGTAGTCTGGTGAAATATACAATTCAAGACCTAGTGGCTGGTCTTTTTCAATAAAAAACTGCTTTCAGAAGGATTTCAGCTTTAATTCTATCTATGGACATCCGTTTGTTTTTGAATACAGAACTTTTTTACCATTTTTATAATGTGATCTCAGTCAAAAGATGCTAACGCCAGCACCAAATACCTCTGCCAACAGTCTTGTTGATCTTATAAGTTTAAATTAAAACTAATGCAATGTAGATAAAATAATGCTTAAAATGACACTGCTAAAAACTTATTACATTTAATTTTGACAAGATCAAATCAAAGTGCTATTTCTATGGATTTCCTTTTTTATTATATTTCTAGTAATTTTAGAAAAGTCTGTCAATGGAAAAAAAAAATCGGTTTAGAGTTATTTTCTTCGAATTTTATATCTCATTTTGAACCATTTTGAAAGACATTGTTTTTAAACAATTTGTTTTAAAAAAAAATAAAATTATAAGATTATTCTTAAAAAAACAAACAAACTAAAATATCAAAACTTATGAAATTAAGTTTTGTTTTAAAAATCGCAAAATCAGAAAAGTCGCAGGTAAAAAACCACAACGCCCTGGAAATAGAAATGTAGTCAGCCATTTTATTGATCTCTAGTATTTTATTACTCAGAATAAAAAGATTTTAGTAATGTGCTAAAATTTTTACATATAAATTTTAATGATTTTAGTGTAAAAGTGCTTGAACTTCATGAAATTCAAGTCATGTGAAACAGCTCCATATTTGTTAATTTTCACCTAATGGTCTGATTTTTTCTATTTGTTTTTATTTTTTACAAATATAAGTAAATTTAAAATTAGAAATTTATAAATTTGCTTTTGCAAATGGGTATTTTAAAGTGAAGTAGTTTTATCTTTACCTTAACTATTTAACTATTTTTTAAACTTTTATGGTTTTATGACATAAATAGTTTATTTGCTGACTTAGCAAATTTATTTATGGCTACAGCTATATGAAGCGCCGATTGTTTGAAAATGCCCTTAAAAACAAAAAAACAAAAATGTAAAAACTTCTGTTCGGCATGATGGCAGGAGGTCAACAAGAATAATGGTTGGCCAAGAAACTTAGCTAATCTTGTACAAACCCTTTTTAAATAGCCAGAGCTTGAAGCGGGTGAATTGTATGAGATCAAAAGCATCTATAAAACTTCTTTTTGCTGCGTATTGGGTCTCAACATTAATGTGTTTAAAAAATGCGTTTTTTTAATTTCATAACAAACTTTTCGTGTTTTTAAAATAACACCAGTTTAAAAAAATGTAATAGTAATAAAAATGCGTATAGAAAAAATACTTCAATCATTTGTATTATATATATATATATATATATATATATATATATATATATATATATATATATACATATATATATATATATATATATATATATATATATATATATATATATATATATATATATATATATATATATATATATATATATATATGAATATATATATATATATAATATATATATATATATATATATATATATATATATATATATATATATTTATATATATATTGTGATAAATTTAATTGGCACTTCATCAAAATACTAAAAAACAAAAACCTTAGCATATGTAAAGTGCCAAGGTTATTTTTGCACGCTGTATATGCGTGCATGTGTGTGTGTGTGTGTATGTGTGTGTGTGTGTGTGTGTGTGTGTTTGTGTGTGTGTAATGTGGTAGAATTTTTTTTTTTGATATTAAAAATAGATAATTAATAAATATAACTTACATTGTTATTTATTGATGGGACACTTGATGAACGTGGTAAATCTGTTCTTGTTTTTAACTTCTGAATATCTGTTTTTAAAAGTTGATTACGCTCTTGTAATTGCTACAAAAATATTTTGAATATAAAAATATTTTAAAACTTTTTTATTAGTTTTTTTTTCCTCCAGATTGAAATCAAAATTAAAAAAATGAACGAAAAAAATAATGAAAACACTTACTTCTTTCATTTTTACAAAACTTCTGCCTTGGAATATTTTAGCACGAGGTACATTTATGTCAGTGCTCTCTTTATCAAAGGTTTGTAACTTTAATGGACTTCCTAAGTCTTTGCTAGGACATCCCTATAATTAAAATTTAATTAATATTATCACTATTTAATATTTCAATCAATATTTAAATTATATTAAATAATTTATTCAATATTAAATAAAAGTCAAATCATTTTAAACATTTTTATAACTTTTGTTTTGAACAATATTGTTTCTTTTAAAAACATGTTATTTTGTCATTAGAGTTTTGGAGTTATTAAACATGATACTCTACAAAGGAATAAAACATATTAATTTTTTTCCAAATTTCATATTTTTTTCTTCTAAAAATAGTAAGTGACCAGGGTTAAAAATTTGACCAGGACCAGGGCCAGGATTGATAAATCTTTACATTAATATAAACTATTGTAAGCATTTTCTTTTGTTAACTAAAGTTTGTTCATACCACATGTAATTCACTCTGTAAGTTTTCTTAATTTTACCTCTACTATTTCATCCTGAAGCTGCTACCTCTTTAAATGCAGCCACCCAAACCACTTTAATCTTCTCTAACCAAGCTGTTTGATACAACATATTTTAAATCTCTGTTTAAGATTTTCTGGTATTTTAAAATGGCTCATTTTCTGGTCTTGCTAAAAATTATATATGTAAAGATATTGTATGTCAGCATCTAAATAAATAGCAAACATATGTTTATATCAATATATGTCCATAACAAGAATGCATAAATGCACCTCTTACTAAACCTCCAGGATCCAAGCAGGTATAGAAGCTTTTATTCCTTCTTGTCTGTTTTAAATCAAGCCTTATTCTACTACACATTTTTCACCTTCTTGTACAGTTGCTTTAATAAACAAAAATTATTTTTCATCTTTTTTACAAGATCATCTCTTTAAGAACAAATTTCTATTTATTATTGCAAGAAATTATGTAGAAAGGTCCTGTCTGATGCTAAACTCTGTCATTCTTAGTTGACTAAATCTTGCATCTTGTCTCACATGTTAGGTTTAGGAAAATCTTCAACAATGACAATAACTAAAGTAAATCTAGCATTCCATCTCTAATTCATGGGTCTGATCTTATTACTTCTCCCCAGAATAAGGCAAATAAGAGTTATTTGCAAAGATCTTTTCTTCTAAATTCATTTTTGAATCTAATGGCCATACTTATACTGCTGTTTCAGTTAAATAGGTTAACCCATTATATATATATATATATATATATATATATATATATATATATATATATATATATATATATATATATATATATATATATATATATATATATATATATATATATATATATATATTATATATATATATATATATATATATATATATATATATATATATATATATATATATACAAACATATATATATATATACAAACATATATATATATATACAAACATATATATATATATATATATATTTAATAAATAGTATTTATATGCATAAACTTATATTAAATATTTATGCTTATGCAATATATGCATAAATTTAAAAGTTTTAAAAATTTATTATAATTTTGCCGGGGCTAGGTTTGTAAAAAGTTTCATTTTACGACAGGGCCAGGACCCCGGTCACTTACTATCTAAGAATATAAAATTCAAATTTAAAACTTTTAATTAAATTCAAATTTAAAAATTCAAATTCAAATTTAAAAATTCAAATTTAAATTCAAATTTAAAAATTCAAATTTAAATTCAAATTTAAAAATTCAAATTTAATATTTTTAAAAAATTTAAAATTATTTTTTTATATTTATTGTTAGATTTTTACTTTTTACTTATTGTTTTAATTTAAAAAAAAGACATCTAGAATACTAATAATATCAAATATTATAAAAACAATTAAAAATTAAAAAATAAATTAAAAAAAAAATTAAAAACAAACTAGCAATTTTTTGACAACTAGAGAAACTTCAGAGTCTTAATGGCAATTAACATTATGAATTTCAAAAATACATTTTAAAATTTGCAATATTTTTTAAAAACCTTCAATTACTTTCAGCTTTATTTGGAACAACTTAAATAATTAAACATAAAGTTAATTATAGCTTAAATAACTTAACATAAACTTGACTATAACTTAGATAATTTAACATAAATTTTACATAAACTTTTAACTTGTTTTAACTTAGCATTGCATTATTTTTATGTTAAAAGCAATTTTGAAGAATCTTTGATACATTAATGAAGCACAAAAATTTAAAAATTAAGAAAAGAAAAAAAAAATAAAATAAAAAGAAATAAAAAAAAAAATTTTTAAATTAACAGATAAAAGAATTAAAAAAGAAAAAGAAAAAAAGAAAAGAAAGAAGAAATAAAGAAAAGAAAGAAGAAATAAAGAAAAGAAAGAAGAAATAAAGAAAAGAAAAAGAAATAAAGAAATACTTGACCAACGTTTTTTTTTTTTGCAAAATAAAATTATCAAAAAATATTCTTTTTTAAACAATATAGTATAGAAAAGCACTTGCATAAAAAATGAAATAAAAGGTGTAAATTAATAATGTACTAAAATTTTACCTATGCTAACCAGAAAAAACATAAAGATGACTTACTGCAACAGCTTCAGCATTTGCATCAATAGCTTCACTTAAATATTTTATATGATTTTCAGCTAAAAAAAAAATCAAAGAAAATAAATAAATCAAAGAAAATAAATAAATAAATTTAAATCTTTAAACCCTTAAAATTAATAAATAATTTGACACAAAGTTTTTTTTATATATATTTTATGCACACATATATTTAAAACGTTTTTATATACTTAAAAAACATTTTATATACTTCATAATTTTTTTTATATATTTAAAAAATGTTTTTATACGTTTAACAAATTATTATATAATTGAATTTTTATAAAATTATAAAATACTAACTTAGTAAAAAAATTACAGCAACTTAATGAAATATATTTATAAAAATAAATAAATAAAATATATTTATAATAAATGTAAGGGTATCACTACATTTATTCAATTATATCCAATATGTATGAAGATAAAAAGAAATGGAAATAGCAACTTATGCTTTAAAACTTGGTTTTCGGAATAAAAATAATTTTTAAACTTCACACAAATGGAAAAGATTGTTCAATAAATCAAAACATTAGTAAAAAAAAAAAAGAAGAGACAATAAAAATAAGTTGAAAGCATACCCTGTGGGCTAAAACCAACTCTTTAAAGAAAACTTTCAACCAAATAAAGTCTTAACTCCACTTTGGATAACTTTAGTAACATTAGTTTTAAAAATTCACAGAAATAGTAGAAGTTTTTTAAATAAAAAATAGATCAAAAAATATTTTTAGTATATTGTTGACAATTTATATTAAAAAGACTCTCAGATAATCTATTGTAAAGAAATAAAAAGACTTTTCAAAATGCAAAAGATGCAAAAACAAAGAAAATAAATAATGAAAAAGCTTTTTAACTTTAATGCACAGTGGTCTATAATAAATGATTTAGAAAAAAAAAAAATTCAGATTTGCTTTATATAAGTACTCTATTTTATTTCATTTATTTTATTGTGGTAATAAAGAGCTTTAAGGCTACAATAAATTTGCATGGTTTTCGCTTAAAATTTTAAAAAAGATGTAATTTTTCTTTAAATTTGGATGTAAGTATGTAAGTAAATTCAAAGTAAAAAGAAAATACACGAAAATACACAAACCTTACCTCTAGTTAACTGAGAGCTAAGTTCTGAAAGCGCACACTGATAAAATCTCCTTGCCAACTGAAGTTCTTCTTTTAAATTAGCATTATGCTCTTCAAGCAATCTATTTTGTAACAACAACTGATCATTAATTTCAGTAATAGATTCATGGTGTTGACAACACTTTTTGGGGGACTTGCCCCATGCTTGAGATTTTATATCATTCTCAGACTTTTGGTCTAACATGAGTGCTTCATTAGAAATAGAGTTAGCTGGCTTGTTTAACTTTGAAAAAATGGTTTCTTTTTGTAAAACTGAGTCCTTCAAATTATTGCATTTAAGACTTTCCCGGGAACTATATCCAGACGATGTTTCATCAATATTGCCTGACTCAATTGAATATTTTAGTCGTGGTTTGTATTTATTGTCATATTGGTGGCTATATGTAGTAGTTTCTATATGCATCTAAATAATTTGAAAAATGAACTGTTATTTAAAATGAACTAAAAACTTTCTTAGAGCAAGTACAAAAAACATTTTTTATTGATGATATCCATAATATAAATTTATAGAGTAGATTATTTATGGTATAAATCAGTATACAATTTTATTGAACTGTATACAAAACAACAAAAAAACTAATATTTTTACTTGTGGCATGTTAAAGTGAAGAAACAGCATATACTGTTACTGTTTTTAAAATAACCACCAAACAACTTTAAAAAAATCTTGGCATGTTGAATGCAACCATATTGTAGTTTCAACAATAGAATATTAAAACTTATTTGGTAATATGATAATCTTTAGATGATCGAATATTTTATTTTATCTTTTTTTTAATCAGTAAACTAACTTTTATCAACTCATTTAACTAGTCATAATATAGGATGATAAATAGTGTACTTCACTATTACTATTTATTATTACATAAATACATTATTATTTTTTATATTATTATATTATTTAATTATTACTCTATATATAATGTTAAACTATTATTTGATTATATTCTTATGTTATACTATTATTATATGAATTGTATAGTATAATACAATAAATAGATTAGTTTAAAACCTAAGTATAGTTAACAATTAATTAACAGTTACCTAATTAACGAAAAACTAAGTAAAACATTTGGTACACAAAACTAGTTAACTACTGTTATTATAAAAAAAGTACTAACTATACTAAGAAAAAGTTTTTTTCACAAATGCTTTTAGCATTTGAGACAAAAATTAAAACTTAAAACTATTGGTTACAACATTACAAGTTTAACTTGTAATGAAAGTTTTGTTTTTAATTTTTGATTCAAAGATTTTTTTTTGATTTTAAGCATAAAAATTTCATGCTTTAAATCAAAGATTTACCAATACTAACAACTAAAAAGCAACCTCAATCGTGCCCCTATAAAAAACTCAGTTAAAAAAAAAACTAAATAAAAAACAGTTTTAAACAGTTAAATATATTAATGATATTCAGGTTAAATACAGTTGTTTTACTTGACTTGAAGAATGCACATTAAATGGCACACTAATTATTGTTTTCTATGTTAATCCTTTTATAAACGCATTAATCAATACTAAAATATACTGGATATATACTTTACTTTGTCAAAAACAAAACTTTACATTTTACGATAGTTATTGTATACATTTTTTTAATTATATAGTTTACTTTAAAAAAACTGTTTAATAATTTTTCAGATTTTATCTAACCTTTTTAGGTGAGGCCATAGATTTCGCTTTTCCGAACAGAACAGAAAAACGGGGAAGCACGTTTAGCAAGATGTTTTTATGTTTAGAATGATCAAGCTTTTATGAATTCTTTGTAGTTGAACTACTTTTTCTTAAATAATCCATGATTTTTTTTTAAACGTTATAGTTTTCACAAATTAACTTGTTTTTATTACAATTAAAGTCTTAAATCGAGCTGAAAACAAGAGTTTTTTTTGTAAAATTTACTACTGTTCAAAAAATTTTGCAAAATTTACTACTGTTCAAAATTACTAATGTTCAAAAAATAAATATTCATAAATATTTCGAGTATTATCTTTAAAGATTAATTTTGAAATGATAATCTAAATAATCAATTAATTAATTAATTAAGAATTTGAATGAAATATAATTAAATCTAAAATTATAATCTTAAATCAGACAATGCATTTTAATTTTATTAAAATGCATTGTCTGTTATACTTTTGTTTTAATTTTTTATCTTTAGAATAATTTTTCTTTCCTTATTAATCAAGTATTAGTTGCGAGTATTTTTGATTGCCAATCACATATACTCACAACTAGGGATGGCAATCCTGGGATCCCGGGATACCGAAATCGCGGGATTCCGTACAAATTGTTCGTCCCGAAGTCCCGGGATTAGTCTACGAAATTTCCCGGAATTTCAGGATTGTCTTAAAAAAAGTAAAAGTTCAAAAAGTTTCAGCTTAATTTTTAATGTAGGTTTTGGAATTGTAGCTGCTTGGTTTTGTTGCTGTTTATCTCTTTGCAATGTTTTCTTTTTATTCTCCATCTTTCTATATTTTATCGAAAATGCAAACTAAAAACTTTGTTGCTTATTTGCAATATTATACTATATTTTTTATATGTTTAATCGTACATATTTTGTACGATTAAATAAATAAAAAAATGTATATATCTTATAATATTAAAACTAATATATTATTAAAAATAAATGTAATTTTAGTACTTGCTACTTGGAAGATCAAACATATTTAGTAAAAGAAATCCCTTTTTATTTTGAATTTTCTAATTAATTTTAATTCCAATGTTTTTGTGATTTTAATTTCAATTTTATGTCCACTCAATTTAATAACAAATGTGTGCATGAGTTACAAAAGTTTAATTATGGAGTTATCAATATATAGAAGGTTTATTAGACTACAAAAGTTTACTTAACCATCCGTTCAACTAATGAATTTAATAAATAAGTTTTATTAAATAAACTTTAATTATCGTTTTCTTAAGTAGAAATTGTTTTTAAAATGGAAGATTATATTCGAGATTTAAATGATTCATTGTTAATTAATGAATCATCTGAAGTTAAAATTTGGCACCAAATTATTGGTTATAAAAAAAACGTCAGGAAAATTGTCAAAATGTTTAAAGGTCCCCAAACAAAAATGAAAATTATTTACAAAAGTACGTAAAAATTGAGTTTAGAAAGATCATTCATTTAATCATGGATTGCAACACCCGATGGAACAGCTTAAATGAGAACCAGGGCCGACGACACCGAGGGGCCTTTTTATTTTCTTTTTTTTTTAAAAGAAAACTCTTGATATAGACACTGCATCAATATAGATGTTTTAGGTTGAATGTAATGGTAATGGAAAAATATTTGGCAAACTATTATGTCAACCTGACAAGGAAACAATTAAAAACGAAATAAAAAAGGCATCTTCTTGGGAGATTTTGATGATTTTTCAATGAAACACCCTGCACAAAGGTGTTTAAAATGGGTGTATGTACTGACATGCGTAGTATGACTATTTATTGCAAACACGTTAGTTTATGCATTGGTAAATTTTACTTTGATCTATTGATGTTTAATAAATAACAGCTTTAGAAAATTTTATATTTAATAATCAACGAAAAATAGTAAGACAAAATTTATATTACACACATCTTTATTCTATAATTTATATAACACACATCTTATTGGCAAATTGGCAAGATTTAAAAAATTCAAGTAATTTTTAATATTGTATGTTATTAAATATCATTACACAAATCATATACATGTTCTTTATTTTTATTGAAAAATGTCTGAATTCTCATACTTGAGTATGTGAATGCCGTTTTCATCAATTTTTCTCCGTGAGATTTATGGCGTTGACTCCGTGGCGTTATTATTATGGCGTTAACTCCGTGAGAGTTGTGGCGTTGAAAACCTCTTTGTTTTATTTATGTTTTTGTGTACAGAACTCAGAGGTTTTTTTTACTGAAAACACCCAAGGATCTTTATTTTCTTTCAATAAAAAAAGCAAGATGGGCGTATTAAGATGGGCGTATTATGCGTAATTTCCATCCCAGGCTAATAGATTAATTTGTATGAATCTTAAGATAGTTTTCTAGGTTGCACATTTCGGCTACAAAATTTTTGATGTCCTTGCCAAAGTCTGGTGATAGCTCCATTCCAAAATAGCTCTTAGTGAAAAAGAAAAGATTTTAAAATTATAAATAGATTATTTATTTTTTTTTTGTATACATTTTACCCTTTAATTAATTGCTACCTGTTCTAAACTTCCTTAATGTTTCAATGCAAGGTAAAATGTGAGGAGGACATATATCTCTAAGTTCATCTAAACATAACAGGACTTTGTGACAATATGGTCCATCATACTCAGGAGGTGGTACTATGTCAATTACCAGAGTTTCTGGTTTTTCTTGTAGCAAACATCGACCAACAACATTTTTGTAAATCTGCATGTTTTTGTATTGTTCGCCGTCTTCTACATACTCTAGGTACCAATCATTAAGACTTTAAAATGTTCTTAACAGGCCGGTGGATTCTTCGCAATAGCAACAGGCAAACTTTCCGCCATGCCCCTAACAATAAAAATTTAGTTATGTTTTTTTAATGAATTTTATTTCAAATTAAAATGCTTATGCATAAATTAATTATTTCAGTTTCTAATAAAATAACTTATTGAAAGACCCAACATACTGTTGATTAACTTGAGATCTGCTGCCACATAAAATTCGAGTTCATTTAATTTTGTCATCTCAATTAATCTTCCTAAGTTATAATTGCAATCTTGAACTCCATGTGCAAAGGCCAAAATTTGCACTTTATTGATGCCAGTGAACTTAAAGTTTTTATAGTCTGCTGAAGGCTCTGAATCAAAAATGTTCGTTACAATTTTTAAAGACATTTTTTTACAATTTTAAAAGATTTTTTTAGAAATTTCCCTCAGTGGTGCCTGTTTTGGATACAAATTTACTTTCATTGATATACCACCTATTTAGAAAATAAATATTATTATAATAACTTAATTCAAAAATTTACTTAATCAAGTTTTAAATGAAACTTACTTGTTGCAAGATTTAGTGTTTTGCTTCCCTCTTTTGTAACCAATTCCTTCAATACAGAAGATACAACTCTCTGGGAAATCTTTGAACCGTTCGATTGTAAGAGATACTGTAGATTTCAAATTTTATCCCTCTGTCCACATGGATGTCTGATACCCTTACCCACCTTCTGATGGCAATGCGAGAAAAATGATTCATCAAGGTCTACAGAGATACTTTGTTTAGTCGACGTTTCATTTACAAATTCTGATAGGTTTAACTTTTTATAGCTTTATACAATTCAGGAGTCTGGAGTCATAGCATGCCATTACATGAGCAATCAGCTGACAGGTGACAGCACACAGGCAGAATTTTTTTAACAAGTACCATTTTGCAGCGGACAAAACAAGTGCAACTTTTTTGATTTGTTTCATTTTCTTAAGATTGGTCCGTGTCAACGTCACAAAAGTTTTTTAATAACTAAAGGATGTATCCAGAAGTTTCCAGATGAAGCATTTGGAAGCATCCAGAATCATCCAGAAGTATCCAAAAACATTCAAAAGCATCCAGAAGCATCTGGAAACTTCTACAAGCATCGAAAAGAAGCATCTAGATTCCGAACAGGTTCACACATGTTCATTTTACTAAATAAGAGACATGTAATTCAGACAGTAATATGGAAGTCAATCAGTCAGTATTATCAAGACAGTTTATCGAAGTGAGTTTTATCAAAGAGTTTTATAGAAGATCATCAATACAAGAAGTGAAATGCAACAAGTATTACATCAATACA